ACATTGAGTTAAAGAAAAATATTTACAATTATTTTTATCTTTTTAATGTTGTTACTAAGAAGTTTTAAATTACATTTGTGACACACACTAGACTTCTGTTAGTATTCTTTCTTTAAAATTGTTGATAGACCTTTATTTTATCTATTTATTTATATGTGGTGCTAAGAATCGAACCCAGTGCCTCACACATACTCAGTAAGTGTGCTACTGGTGAGCCCCAGCCCCAGCCCCTAGAATTCTGTATATTTTCTAATGCATGTTTCTACTGGTTCTCATTTTGATTGTCATATATGCTTGATTATTGTGGTCTCTGTGAGGTATATGCTGTTTTAAAAAATGCCATTGAAAGAATTTGAATTTTATGATATTTTCTTCCTCCAGAATCACTCCAATTTACTTGTATCACACTTGGTAGTGACAAATCCAGAATTACTTATTTCCATTTCAGGAGTTAAGATATTTTGGGCCATGCAGAAGCCTTGAGGCTGGACTGCAGTGGGTCTGAAGACTGGTTTTCCTCCAGTTCACCCTTCCTCTGAGGGTCAAGTCCTTCAGGATCACTCCACAAAGGGCAGGGAATTTATCAGGGTCCCTGCTTTCTTCGTCAGGGCCTGGACTTCAATATCTTCTTGCTTTGCTCCTGGAAACTATACAAACTTGCATGAGTTACAAGGGGAGGTGCCCCTTTCCTGATTAAAAGACTACTGACATCATCACCATACCACTCTATCACAATTAGGAAGCCATCAAATAAGGCTAGGAAACCACCATAATCAGTATCTCACCACAATAGCCACAGCTCTATTGCTGGCTCTGGAATAACACTGTGCCTGTAAGCATCTGTACCCTCAGAATGGATGTCACAGGCCCTTCTCTCAACCTTTCCAAGCCAGTGACCACTTCCCCGGACCTCTATTAATGCTACAGCAAAGAAACCACATATCTTCACAACCAGTGTGGCAGCAGGAACAACAGATGTCTGGCTTCTGCTCCAGTTCTGCCTCATTTGATTGACAGAATCTCAAGGCACCTCCAGGAGTTAGGTTACAAAGAGTCTGGGAAATGTAGAATTTAGCTTTTATGGTTTCTGTGGTAGAGAAGGTACAGTAGAAACAATGGATGTCCTGCTCCTGTTTCCCCTGTCCACCCTGCAGTTGAAATGCCATTCCGTTATTGTATGAAAATTGACAAAAGTAATGTTGTTTCTTGCTTATTGATTTATGATATATACCGAAGTACAGTATATCCATATACCTTTACCTGTATATCTCCATACACAGTTACCAAAAAGGCAGTAAGATCAGTAGTGATTTGAAGCATGGGTTCCGGATTCAGCCTGGTGTTCAAAACCTGTGTTTGTGTGTGATTTTGGTACGCATGTTTCCTCAACCTCTCTCCCAGATATTTTATTTTCTTATTTCTAAAATAGGTGGAAAGACACAGCCTACCTTTAAATACTGTTGTGAGGCTCAGTTGAAATAAGGCATACAGGAGTCTAAGTATAGCACCTGGCTCATTGTACCAAGAAGTAAACTGCAGCTCTATTTGTGATGAGTAGCAAAAGATCTAGGTGGTAAAACCAACTCATACCTTCTTGACAAGTCACTTATTTTCTTTGGGTCTTTTTTGTTCTATTAAAAGATAATTTATTTTATTAATCAGGGCAATACAAATTAGAACCACAAGGAGAAAAGATTGAGAACCAGTAGATTGGCAAAATATACCAAAATTGGGCCCTATTAAGTGCTGACAAAGTCTGTGCTAGAACAACATAGTCTCACATAATACAGAAGCAAATGCTACTACTAAATCTACGTTGGAAGATAATTTAGACTTTTTCAATAAAAATGAGATAGATGCACCCACCTTATAACTTCAATTACACTTCTAGTTACCTGTGTTAGAGAAATTTCTATAGAGAAAAGTGTTCTATATTTTTAAGTTAGTGTATACAGTGGTTATTCATCTTATTTTTATGTCTGATAAATGTTATATTCATTTGGTACATAATTACATTTTCATAATAAAATACATACCAAAAAGGTTTCAAAAAGAATTCTTACCATCATATTTAAGCAGTATAATAAAAAATATTGTTTGATTCAGAAGTGAGACTATTTCCAGTTGACCTGGGGACTGGAGATAAAGCTCAGTGGCACAGCACTGGCCTAGCATGCACCAGTACTATAGTTTGGATCTAGAATGTACCCCAAAGCCCCTGGGTTAAAGACTTGGCCCTAGTGTGGCACTGTTAGGACTTGGGGGAAACTTTAAGATGGGGGGATGCCACGGGGGAGCTACTGGGAGTCTGTACTCCCACCATGGTACGCTGCCTTGCCACACAGACCCCAAAATCAAAGAAACCTCCCAAGCTGGGAGCCTTATATATCGATTCTCTCAATATTTTGTCTCAGTGATAGAAAGATGGAAAGCTGACTAACAGAGCAAGGGCACAGGTTTGATCCCCAGCACAAAACCCCCAAACAAGCGAAAAACCTGACCTGTATTGCACAAGCAGACATTTAAATTATGTAAATTGACCTGTCTTGCTCCTCTCAGTGACCAAGTCTGACCAAAGGGTGAAAAGAAAGAAAGTAACTGGTACTAATTTTTCCTCTTTTTCAAGAGTCCCTATCTATGAGCTTGTAGTAAAATGCTTTTCCTAAAATCATTTCTAGGTGGTTGTGGGAATTTGTAAAACTTCCACTACTGTTTTCCTACTTTTTTGCTTATTAGCTAACTTTGTGGTTTAAAGATTATGAAATTTTGCTTTGGTTCCTCACACATTTAAAATTTTGGAAATGACTAACAGCAACAAGTAAGAAATTAAATATTTACATTTAAAATACATATTGTCAGTACCAGTGCAAAAAAATTGTGAATAAAAATATAAAACATTAATCTGAAATTTTGGGGGGGGGGTACTGGGGACTGAACTCAGGGGCACTCGACCACTGAACCACGTTCCCAGCCCTATTTTTTATTTTATTTAGAGGCAGGGTTTCCCTGAGTTCCTTAGCTCTTTGCTGTTGCTAAAGCTGGCTTTGAACTCCTAATCTTCCTGTCTCAGCCTCTTGAGCTCAGGGATTATAGGCATTCCCCACCAGGCCTGGCCTAAGCTGAAAATCTTGATCTTTGCATTTTAGATTTGATTTAGTACTTAACAAGTAGCATTACATACATTAATTAAATCATTAAAGAAAGAAAAAAGAAAAAAAGATTCTTAATGGAAAATGAAGGACTCTGCTGAGGTTGTCAAAGAAGCCTACAAAAATGGATGATCACTGTCTCACATAATACAGAAGCAAATGCTACTACTGTTTCTTCTTGAGCTATGTACTGAGCAGGAGAGCAAGGGCTGGGGGTTGCTAACCTCTTCCTCCTGTGCTGCTCACCTAGAAGCCACTTGGAATGATCTAAACTGAAGCTGTTTCAAACAATTCTCAGTTCCTCTTCTCCCCAGGATGTGGTAGGATGGGATGTTGACTACTGTCAGTTAAAGTTTTGTCTGCACAGACCAGATTGATGCATTCCCAAAGTGAGACTACCACAGAATCCTATGAGGGGAAAGCTTGTGGGTGGAACTGAGGTCTAATCAGGCCTCAGAGACTTTGTTGGGTGGACTCTGCTCTGGAGGCATTAGATCAACACACCCCTAAGGCCTGGCAGATGCCCATCTCTTGTGTGGATCTCAGGAACCTCCCATGAATTCTACTTATGGCACAGGGGAGCCAGTCCTCCACACTGTGCTGCCCATGAGTACAGCCTTCCTGAGTTAGTCCCTGAGTATATTCACACCTGCCTGTTGGGATTCCTGCCCTGCTCTGGCTGGTCATATGAGTCACCAGACTCAAAGGAGAAGCAGGTTGGGCTCTCTTTCTCTTTTCCAACTTGAATCCCCATGGGTACAATCTTGTTTGTGCCTGTTTCACTCCCATTCTGCTAGGTATACCCTAGGCTGTAGTGTAGGTGCCTGCTGGGACAGTGTGACAGTCTTTGCTCTGATTTCCTGGCTCCCTAAGAAGCAGACACAGAATGGACACTTCAAGATGGCTCTGCCTCAGGTGCCCAAGGCTAGTTGGGAAGCACACGGAACTTTTAAACACCAGTGCACAGTTCAGCCTCTGGATCAGCTAAGTTCATGGAGCTTTTCTGAACTCAGGTGCAATGACCTGCAAGGCTGTAAATTCAGAAACTGATGAGAGATGATGGGGGACTGAGAAAAGACAAACAGACAGACATACATAGAGAGAAACCCTGAGACCAGGTGGGAATTTAACCTCTGATGGAGGATGAATAACCCAGAGCTAGCTCAGGATGTTTACTATAGAGGTTTTGTAATCAAAAAGTTATTTGTGGGCTGGGGACATAGCTTAGTTGGTAGACTGCTTGCCTTTCATGCATAAGGCCCTAGGATTGCTCACCAGCAACACACACACACACACACACACACACACACACACACACACTCGCACACAGACACGTTATTTGTGAGAAAGTTTCAGCAAAAAATACAGACTTGAAGATCTTGCCAGACATGGAGGTTTGCTGTGACCAGTGTGGCCAAACTTGTGGTTCTGGTGAGAGGCGATGGTTGAATTAGAAAATAAAAACTCACACACAGATTTTGAATTAAATAGCTGAAATTAGGTAAAGTGCTGCTTTCTGGTGGAGAAGCAGATCTCAAGGTTATTCAGCAATCTTTATTTATATGTCTCATATCAGGTTAAAGACTATGCAAGTATTATTCTTTTTATTCAGGAAAGTTACAGAAAAAAGAAACATCTATGGAGCTTTTCCATAGTTGCAATCCACAGGTGCAATGTGCTATGTTAGGAGCTTTGTGAAATGCTCAAGAAGGTTCAATATTTAAAATTACTGTTAAGCAGGCAGGCTCAGAAGTAGCAGAGCTGGTGTAACCCTGTGGTTGTCTAGCATGCAAATTCCTCTATCCCTGGGAGCTATGTGCCTGAGATCAAGGTTGAAGCTAAGACTCTTACGCAGAGCCTCTTCATGCCGGGCATTATCATAGCAGCTAGGCATCTTACACCCTTGCCCAGGAACATTCCCAGGCACCAGATGTGCCACAGCCATGAGGTCATCAGAGACCCCCAGTCTCAGTCACTGTTCTCCCATTCTTTGTCACCACTCTCCACAGAGGTCATCATGCTCAGAACTCTCTATCCCTATCTTATTTATGGGAGTCATCCACATTTTTTATAGAATAACTGTTCCAGTTACAAATGTATCACATTTCATCCTTTCTATTGTGACAGGTGTCACAGGGGCATGTTAATATATTCACATGTCACTTTACTCTGTGACCTTAATCCTTTGTGTCATGACATCTAGTGTGTGAGCACTGTTGACTTATGGTTTCTGCCCATCAGTAATTTAATTATATACAAAAATAACTGTGAACACATGGTTAAACCACGATACATATCCTTCTAATTCATTTTCCTCTACAAATAAGTAAAACTTCCACAGCCTTTCTAATTCCACCCAAATGGAGAAAGTTTGTTGGAAAGAGTGACAAAGTAAAGGCTGGTAGCAAGACTGTCATTGAAGGTCACTTCTTGTCTTCATTCAAGTGTTGGTCTGATGACATATTAGATGATGGAACAGCTTCTACAATAGTAAGGAAAATTATTAGCCTATGTTATATTATCCTAGAGAGCAAATAACTCTGCAACCAAAGATCTGGAGCCAACACCCTCCCAGATTCTCCAGATCTCAGGCACTGCCCCACTCAGGAGGAGACTCCTGTGTGTCCCTCCTCTCACTGCACTGCTGTGCTACCTACAGTGGCCTCCTCTACTCAGCAGCAGTCATTCCAGCACTACTGTGGAGTGCGCAGTGCTCAAGGCTAAGGAAGGGCATCATTTCTCTGGAGAGATATCCGTGGCCAGGGGCTTGGGTGAAACTGGTGGCACACCTGTCCCAAGGTCCTACCAGACTGAGACAGTGCCACCCAAAGGCCAGAGGACAGACTATTCCTCACCTTTCACCTGTTGATTTCCTTTAGAACTTGATGGGCATGAAGATGATGATGATGACGACTAAAATTAAAACAATGATGACCACTAAGCTGGTCACTGAAACAGATGAGGTACGTGGAGATCCGCTGGTAACTGGGACTGTTGATGTTGGTGCTTAAACAAACAAAAGAGCAAAATCCCTGTCAAAATTAAAAATATCCATTCTTCAGCACCCGTTTTCCCCTTATAGTACATGCAACTCATATTTACTGACTCATTATGGGACAATTATTCTACCAGGTCCTGGGGGTACAGAGATGAACAGAGGTTGTGCCATGTCCTTATAGAGCTCACATTACTACTGGAAGGACAGCAAATGTCCATCAAGTTGTTGAAGGTTAATTGTAACACAGGAAGAAGAGAAGGCCTGGAAGTTTACAGAAATGTTTATAGAACTGTGAACTAGTTAGCAGGCCATTAATGAGTAGATCATTGTTTAATGGACAATGGGGCTCCTGCACAGAGGAGGAGACACTGGGAGGTGAGATGAGACAGGAGGCTGGTGACAAATCCACATGGCTATCACTGACTGTCCAGTCAAGAAGCCGATGAAGAAATCAGTCAGTCATTCAGCTCGTCAAATTTTCCATTACATGCAAATGCTCGCACCCCACAGGGAAGTTATCAGACCTTCAAAGGGAACTCCCACAGGCTTCCCACCCTGCATTCCCACCTACCTGGCATTTTCTTCCAGTGCTTTAAGAGTTCCCTGAGCCAGTGATTGCAATCTCCCATGGAGACCTTCCTTAAATGTTCTCTCAGTTCTTTGTCATTCTCCCACTTCTCCTTGATCCCCCGGGCTCTAGGATTAATCACTGTCCACTCCATGTGCATCACATTTAAGCAGAGAGATGGCTGTCCATCAATGCTGAAATTCCAGGATGAACCAAGGTCATTGTTTCCTTCAAGCTGACAAGACATCTTGGCCTGCAGGGTGAGATGACCTGCAATACACAACAAAAGCATCATCTCCCACTCTTGATAGATCCGTCACCTCCCAATAAGTAGAGCTTTCTCTGCACATTTAGAGGCCTGTATTCTTTTCTCCCAGATTTGACCTTTCTTGCCCATTAAGCCCCACATCCCTCTAAGGCTGGGCCAATGTCCAGCTCTTTTACACAAACACATCCAGAGCCTCCTCCACATGTGCACTCCACCCCTTCCTCTCTCCTGCTCTATCTCTTCACCCCATTCCATACTTACCCCTGGCCATCTTTTGTTCCAAGTTTATGTCAAGCAAAATCATCCTGAGATCTTGCCCCAGTTCTCTCAGCATTTCTGTCAATTGTGTCCATGTTTTGGTGGCATTCACCTCCTTTCCCAGGTGACCCAAAGGTTTGATCTTATTGCTCTCACAGTCATACTGAAGGAAAGCGGTCTTATCCACTGAGCCCTGCACTTCACACCAGGACTCCCCAGGTCTGGACTGAGATTTGACAGTGAAGTCGAGGCAAAGAGAGTGGGTACCTGTGAGAGAAACATGGAAGTGAGGTTCAGGACAGGGAGAAGAGGACCATTAGTTCCCATCCTTCTGTGACTCCCAGACTCCCTCTGAAGGGCCAGGCTGGCAGAGGGAGGAGTCTTCATCCTAAACTTCCTCTATCTAGATCTTTTATTTGGTGTCACCTTTAACTGAGGTTGTAGGATGCTTTCATGCTATCAGGGACCCCTCACAGGCACTGTTTTACCAGGAGAATTAATCTGATAAACATTTTTAGTGACTTTTCCCAACTTTGGGGCACAAAAAATACACAATGGTATCTGTTCTCCTGAAAATTAAAACCTAGCTGTACAGACAGTATTTCCAATAGAGTAGAAAAGGAGGCATCAGGGATCACAGGTCAATTCATCATGGTCTTGGTGGCAGGTCATGATGGAGTAGATGCAGGAACATGGAAGTAGAGGGAGCTGCCACACAGGAGCACAGAACCTAGTCTGGTGTCCTAGGCTGGAGCCCTATGAGCTGATCATAAGATTCCAGGGAACCTCTCCAGCCAAACCACACTTTCTGCTCATTCTTCAGAAGAGATCTCCACTTGTTTGTACCCAGCATGGAGCCCCAATCTCTCCTCCCTGTCCCCACCCATGGCCCAGAGTCTTACAGACTTTTACTAGCAGCATCATTAGCAAAATATATACGTAGTGAAGTATACTGGAGACATTCTGTTGAGAATAAATCAGAGTAACATGTAAGAATGAGCCAGGCGTATGAACATATATCTCTTCCTCTGTGGTGTGGGCTTGCCCCAAATCTATAATTGGAGGACTGAAGATCATCTGTTGAAATTCAATGAACAAAAATGTTGTCAAAGTCATGTTTAGCACGTACTGAAAAACAGAATTACTTACTAATAGAATGCGCAAACATTGAAAAGGAGATGTTAAAAACCAAAACTTCCTGTGAATACCCAGTCTCTGTAAGGGAAGCAGAGCTTGCTGGAGGTTACATGAGCTCCTTCCTTCTACCCACTTCTTCTCCTCTTTTCTCTGCTGCTTTTGGCATCCACTTTCTTCCCATGACTATATTTTCTCCCAACCTCACTCTCCTCTATCCCATATCTCCTCTTTCCTCTTAATGACTGAGATCCATTTGCATTCAATACCCCACAATGAGAGGTTCAGTCAATACAGACACGAGCCCTAGAGCCCCAGAATCATCTTTTTGGTTGAGAAATAGAGGCTGACAAAGATGATCACTTTCAGGCGAATAATGATGAAAATGAACACCATTCTTAAGAATGGTCTTTTGAGGGCTGGTGCAAAGGATGAACTGCGCCTTGCTGAGGCAGAAGCAATGGATTATGAAAGCAGTCCCATAAGACAATGGTGGCAGTTTTCAAAAAAGTCTGTGTAGTAAATAATTTCCCTTGGAGACTTGAAAATGACACCATCTATGGTCTTGATATCAAGTGTGGTTTCTGGCTTGTGCACACTGTGGATGGCAGTTAGGGGCTGTGGAGGAAGATCCCAGGTCAGAAGCACAGAAGGATGTCAAGCTCTTCAGTGAATCTGGAAAGCAGTTGGACCCTGGAAGCAGTAGCAGGGTTCAACAGAAAGCAGCAAAACTTGCTGCTGAAGATGATGATTTTGTTGATGAGGAAACTAAACAAAAAGCTCTAATGAAGAAATCTCTCTGAGACTTTCCAGGTAAAAATGCACAACAGTAACAAAAGAACAGGGAAGATGCAAAACCACTGACACCAAGATCAAGAGGTCAAGAATCCTCCAAAACACAGAGAAAAAACCACACTCCTGAAAAACCAAAGGATCTACCTCTGTTGAAGACATAATGGCAAAGTGGAAGCAAAGCTCTTCAATTACATGGAGAGATGTATCTGGATGATTGATCTGGAGGCTATTCAAGATCTCTGGCACTGGAGGAAGTTTATTTAAGAAAACAGTTTACCAGTTTGTCAAAATTTTCTGTCTTAAATTTCTAGATACATATGGTCCACTCACATTGAATCAGGAGGGCACAGAAAATTTGAACAGATCAATTTCAAGCAACGACATTGAAGTCAGAATCAAATTCCTACCAACAAAGCAAAGCCCAGGACCAGATGGCTTCTCAGCCAAGATCTACCAGAACTTCCAAGAAGAACTTACACCAATACACCCCAAATTATTTCATAAAATAGAAAAGAAGGGGACCCTTAAAACCTCATTATATAAAGCTAGTATCACTTTGATACCAAAACCAGACAAAGGCACATCAAGGAAAGAACACTTAAGAATAATATACCTAAGAACATAGAAGCAAAAATTATTAATAAAATAAAGGCAAGTAGCATACAAAAACATATTGAAAAGATGGTACACCATGATCAACTGGGGTTCATTCCAGGGATGCAAGGTTGATACAACATACGGAAATCAATAAACATAATTCATCACATCAATAGTCTCAAAGAATCACACGATTGTCTCAATACATGCAGATAAAAATATTTGGCAAAATTCAGAATCCATTAATGCTCAGAACAGTAGAAAAATAGGAATAGTAGGAACATACCTCAACATTGTAGAAGCTATCTATGCTAAGCCCCAGGCCAACATCATTCTAAATGGAGAAAAAATGAAAGGGATGCCTCTTTTTCTACTCCTATTCAACACAGTTCTTGAAACCCTAGCTAGAGTGATTAGAGAGAAAAAAAGAAATTAAAGGAATATGAACAGGAAAAGAAGAGCTCAAACTATTCCTATTTGCCAAGGATATGATTCTATATTTAGAAGACCCCTCACCCCCAAAAAAAAACTCCACTAAAAACCTTCTGGAACTCATAAAAAAATTCGGCAAAGGGTTTAACATTAACACCCATACATGAATTGCATTCCTATACACCAATGTGAGCCAGCTGAAAGCAAAATTATGAAAACTATCCCATTCACCATAGCCTAAAAAAGGAATCAATCTATCAAAAGAGGTGAAATTCCTGTACAATGAAAACCATAAAAATTAAAGAAAGAAACTGAAAAAGACCTTAGAGGATGGAAAGATCTCCCAGGTCCTTGGATAGGCAGAATTAATATTGTCAAAATGACCAATACTACCAGAATTGATATACAGATTTAATGCAATTCTTATTGGAATTCCAATGACATTCTTTATAGAAATAGAAAAGGCAGTCATGAAGTTCATTTGGAAAAATAAAAGGCCCAGAACAGCCAAATCAATCCTTAGTGAGAAAAGTGAAGCAGGAGGCATCACAATACTAGACCTTAAATTATACTACAGAGCTATAGTAAAAAAAAATGGGATGGTATTGGCATAAAAACATACATGTTGACCAATGCAACAGAATAGAAGACACAGAGACAAACACACATATATATTGTTGTCTCATACCAGACAAAGGCTCCATAAATATAATTTGGGGAAAAGACAGCCTCTTCAACAAATGGTGTTGGGAAAACTGGAAATTCATACATAGCAGAATGAAACTGAACTTCTATCTCTCACCCTGCACAAAACTCAAAGTGCATCAAGGACCTAGGCAGTAGATCAGAGACTCTGTGCCTACTAGAAAAATATGTAGGCCCAACTCTCCATCATGTCAGCTTAGACTTCTGAAGCACAAGAAGTATGTCTTGAATCAATAAATGGGATGGTATCAAACTAAAAAGCTTCTTCTCAACAAGGGAAACAATCAAGAATGTGAACAGAGAGCCTACAGAATGGAAGAAAATCTTGCCACCTGTACCTCAGCTAGAGCATTAATCTCCAGGATATACAAAGAGCTCAAAAAACTTAACACCAAAAAACTAAATGACCTAATCAATAAATGGGCAAAGGACTTGAACAGAAACTTTACAGAAGAAGAAATACAAATAGTCAAAAACTATATGAAAAAAACATGTCCAATATCTCTAGCAATTAGAGAAATGCAAATTAAAACTACACTGAAATTCCATTTCACTCCATTCAGAATGGCAATTATCAAGAATACAAAAAACAATAAATTTTGGCAAGGATGTGGGGAAAAAGTTTGACTCATTTATTACTGGTGGGTCTTCAAATTGGTAAAACCACTGTGGAAAGCATTATGGAGATTCCTCAACACATATGGAATAGAACCATCAATTGACCTAGTTATTCTACTCCTTGATATGTATCCGAAGGACTTAAAATCAGCATACTACAGTAATGCAGCCACATCAATGTTTATAGCAGCTCAATTCACAATTGCATAGCAAGAAAACAAAACTAGGTGCCCATCAACACCATGAATCGATAACAAAAATGTGGTATATATACACAATGGAATATTACTCAGCCATAAAGAATAAAATTATGGCATTTGCTGGAGAATATCATGATAAGTGAAATAAGTCAGTCTCAAAAAACCAAAGGCAAATGTTCTCTCCGACATGCAGATGTTAACACAAAATAAGGTGGGGTACAGGGGTATAGGGCAGTGGAAGAATAAAAGTTACTGGATTAGATAAAAGGTAACAAAGGGAAGGGAGGATAGATAGGAATAGGAAAGACAGCAGAATGAATCAGACATAAGATTCCTATGATCATATGTGCATACAGAACCAGTGAAACTCCGTATCATGTACAACCACAAGAATGGGATCCTAATAGAATGAGTCATATTCCATGTATATACAATAGGTTAAAATACACTCTACTGTCATGTATATCTGAAAGAACAAATAAGAGAAATTTGTCTCAGTTTCTGTAACAGATAGTATCTCTCTTCCTTTTTATAGGAGGACTTTCACTACTGTGTTTGATAAATGTCCAGGTTCCCTTGACAAGAATGTTGCCCAAAATGCCCATTTCTTTAAAAAAATTTAATAAGGACACATTCATGCAGTTTCATGGTCAGTCTTTACATTTACAAATCAATACCTTGGGTGCAAAACAACCACCATCAAACTACATTAAAATGGAATGTTACATGCTTTTCACAGAACAGAAGCTAAAATATTTAACCTGTCATGTGCAACTAGTCACAGTA